AAGCAAGCCGTGGGACTGTGGAAAGGACAGACAGTTGTCGACAGTTGGTGAGAGGCGAGAGTCGACGATTGAGAGTCTCAGTCCCCGGCGATGTTGTACGGCAAAGCTTTAATTTGTGTCCTGCGTCTGTTACTTCTTCGTAAAAGTCTCTCTAGGCAACATCCCAAAGAACCCGGGATTCCAACACAACATCACACCTATAATAGTATAAATGTAATTTAGTTGATTTTTGCAGCCAGCCAAAAACTTTTGTCAAGGCAAGTTGCTTAGCCTCTCCTATAATTTCGTAACAGAATTAAAGCTGTACTTTACCTACAATATATTGTAATTTTGCGCAAATACATGTAATATATTCCATTCGCCCAAATTTTTGGCACAAATGTATGTGTTGTAAAATTATCAATCATATAATCATACATGTTAATTTGTATGGTAAAAATTCTAAAATTTCACACATGACTTGATGTACCTTAGCTGTTTCTATGTGAAGAATAACGTCCCTGAGTATGATGTCCCTCGCGGGACCTTGGCTCAATAATTATATAAGATAAGAACAGTACATACTGTATCTGCAGACTTGTTCCTCAACTTTAACTTCAAGTATGCATATGGTAGGATTTCGTATCGAGGAGCTAGGAACTACGTTTTAGTACAATTTCAGCAGATAAAATAGCCAACAATGAAATAAAAAAATCTTTCTTCGTCACACCCTAAGTAAATTTGTATTTGCATTTATTTGCGCAAGATTGACCGAGTATTTTGACAGGCTCATGCCATACAAAACAAGACCTAAACACGCACGAAGATAATTTTTCACCCCCCTCCCACCCGCTACGATCTACGCATCCGCTCTTATTACGCCTGTAGAACGGCTAAAATGGACCAAAAAATAGTAAAGTGTACTTACCATTTCATGAGTATGGGGATATAATCCACTCTCCGACTCGGCATTACCGCCCGGGCATGGAAAAGTCTCATTATTTACTCCTTCGTGCAGAATTTTACACGCCTGCACGCGCTATTCAAAATGGGTCAAAGGTCACATCCTGGCGCTTCGAACGCTCATTGCGTCATCGCAAGTAGTGCGCGTGCGCTAACCGAACGCCTCAAAGGAACTTGGTGTGCATAAAATTTGGTATAATCTTGTCCCACTGATAAAATGATTATGTTTTTAGCACTACGGCAGATTTCCTAACAACTGCAGTAGAATGCCTGGTATTTTTATGTTGTATTTGGGCAAAAGTTCTGGATAAGCAATGATGACAATTTTTGCAAAAGTGATAGCTCTTCTTTTTTAGAAGTGCCATAAATTTTGACTCTACAGGCCAATTTAAGTTTTGCATCAATAGATAAAGGTTCAAACAAACTTATATTGTCAAAACTATCTCAGTCAGCAACCAACAACTTTCCAAGTAATCATTGCCCTTTCTCTATGCCTGTACATTTCTTCGCACACTTAGGAGCCATGGCGTAGGGAGAAAATTCCAAGCGTTGCAGAAACTTTTAAGGGTTGTAGAGTTACAGTTACCGGCAGTTTTACGGAGCCGTGCTGTCGCTGCCGTCGGCTCTGATCTCAAAGATGACCTCTGGGTCACGCAAGGTCAGAGGTCGGCAGCTAATTAGGTGATTTTGTCTTTCGCCAAAATACTCACAATTAAATGTTGTTCCTCCTCTTGCTGCAGGACTACAGAGGTGAATTCAGCTTTTGTTACCATGGCAACGAACAGCTGTGGCTCTGATGGCATCAAAAGAGGATCGGATGGGACATCTGCCACAAAAATGTACAGATGTGAGGAGTGCAGCAAGCAGTTCAGTCGGCTGGGTCATCTGGAGGCTCACATGCGTACTCACACAGGTGAGAAACCCCACAAGTGTGAGGAGTGCAGCAGACAGTTCAGTGAGCTGGGTAATCTGAAGAAACACATGCGGATTCATACTAGGGAGAAACCCTACAGGTGTGAGGAATGCAGCAGGCAGTTCCGTTATCTGTGTAATCTGAAGAACCACATGCGGACTCACACTGGGGAGAAACCCTACAGGTGTACGGAGTGCAGGAAGCAGTTCAGTCAATGGGGTACTTTAAACTCTCACATGCAGACTCACACAGGTGAGAAGCTCTACAAGTGTGAGGAGTGCAGCAAGCATTTTAGTCAGCTGGAACATTTGAAAAGACACATGTTGACTCACACTGGTGAGAAACCCTTCAGGTGTGAGGAGTGTGGTAGGCAGTTCAGTCTGCCACATAGTCTGAAGACACACATGCGGACTCACACAGGTGAGAAACCCTACAAGTGTGAGGAGTGCAGCAGGCAGTTCACTCAACTGTGTCATCTGAAGAAACACATGCGGACTCACACAGGGGAGAAATCCTACAGGTGTGAGGAGTGTGGCAGACAGTTCAGTGAGCTGAGTAAACTGAAGAGCCACATGCGGACTCATACAGGGGAGAAACCCTACAGGTGTGAGGAATGCAGCAGGCAGTTCCGTTATCTGTGTAATCTGAAGAACCACATGCGGACTCACACGGGGGAGAAACCCTACAGGTGTACGGAGTGCAGCAAGCAGTTCAGTCAATGGGGTACTTTAAACTCTCACATGCAGACTCACACAGGAGAGAAACCCTACAGGTGTGAGGAATGCAGCAGGCAGTTCAGTCAGCTGGGTACCCTGAAGAGCCACATGCGGACTCATACTGGAGAGAAACCCTACAGGTGTGAGGAGTGCAGCATGCGGTTCAGTCATCTGGGTAGTCTGAAGAAACACAGGCAGATTCACTTGTAAGAAACCTTATACTATATATAGTTATAGGTGTAACTGAGGAGTACAAAACCTCACAGTTTTGAGGATTGAGTTTTGACTATGGTCCTTTGAAATATCCAGTTTACAAAGTCTGACAGGGAAGAAACTCCAACAGAGTGAGGAGTTCAGTAGACTGTTCAGTCACCTGGGTTATACATTGTAAGCGACACATGCAAACTGTAATAATGACTGAAAGAAGGTGGGTCACGTGAAACCATACAGGAAAAGAAGAAATACTTGGATTGAGGACATTCATGTTGTACAAGACACCTTTGTGACTAAGAGCAAGTTTTTTGTACAATCCTGTTAACTCTCTTTATTGTGAAAGTGAGGAATCAGACTGTAAAGAAAACCTATGATATGCTACAATGGGGATGTTAAACATTGAATATCAAGCTAAATAACTCGTAACCTAAGTTTATTTCTTTAAAGTTCTTTTGTTATAGAGGAAGAGAGTTTCGTTTTTATAGATATTAGCATGTTATGGTTTATTCTGTTAAGCTAGATATTTATTTATAGATTCTTTTAGTTAGTATGTTTTCTTGTTTCTTACTAATTGTTGCCATAGATGATAGAATTACCTGTAGTTCATGTAATTGTAGGTAGATAAAGACTAGTGTTGTTGCTGGTATTCAAATCTACTGTAGTACATTTTGTAGCTATTATAGAAGCTAATATTCACTCTTGAAGTACATAGATCTGTATGCGAAGTGAGTGCCTGTTGTTAGTTTGTTACTACTATGTTAATATTCATTGGTTTAAGTTGTTTTCATTTGTTTTAAATACATTTTCGTTTTGAACTTTAGATATGCGTTTGTTTATACCACTGGTCTTGTTGCAGATGTGAAGAATTTGTGCAAAAATATTGAAACACCAGGATCCATGAATTCATAATCTTTGTTGAAACGTGAATATATGCAGATATAGGGCTTATTCACCACCGATTGTCACGTGACTCTTCCCCCCCGGCAGCGAGCATTGTCCGCCATTAGGGGGTGCAACATGGTGCCTATCGCTATGGTACGCTATGCAAACTCTTGGCGATAGTTGCGTATTTTGGGCCACAATCTACGTTTTGAACACTCTTCTTGTTAGTAACATTGTCCTTGGGTTGTTCTGGCTCCATGTCCACGTCTCATGTTCTCAAGATCGGCTTTTATCTTTTTCTTGCTGATCAGAAATCGGTGTGTTTTACCCTGGCGCGGCGTACGGGGCTGTACATGTACATGTAGATGGCAACGTGGGTGAGCCATGAACACGGTAAATCTGTTGGAGCTGTCTACATGTGTACTTGTCCCTTTACTCTGTGGTAAATGTCCATGTAGAACAGGGCGCTGACAACTTGCAACACTCACCTTGTCCAGCCACAGTCGCGGCAGTGCGGACTGAGGATGGCGGCCGATGGCCCCCGCAGCCTTTGCTTGTTATTATCCAGACACAGTCCGGGGCTGTTCCAAAATAGCGACTTTTTGCGTTTCCCGACTGCAACGTACTTGTCACCACGCAACTGCCCCACAACACTGAGGCTCTACACATCCTGGTACAATGCTTCCAGACTCTTAAAGGGTTTGAACCGATCCTGTGTGTAAAAACTTCTGCCCCGTAAGTACCAAATACGAAGCGAAGTCACGTCAATGGACTCCGCTGGCAGTAGACGCCGTCTCGATCAGACTGATCAAAACTCAACAAAAACGGGTCAATCCCAACAGATTTTATTTTGTTCCAGTAACGAGAGGTATGAGTGGTGGTAAACTCTTCGTGTAATAGGACAAAGGACAGTTTACCTAACGTTTCACGGCGGTCGGTTGCTAGGCTAAAAGTCGCATTACTAGGGAGGTATCGGGTTACAGAACGTGTTCGAACGTGGCCGCGCGGGAGTCCCAGGCCGGCCCGGGGGCAACGGGTAAAATTTGAAAATAAACAAAAGCAATTGGAGAGTAAATACTCCTCAAAATAAAATGTAATAAGTGATTTTGTTTACCTCAAATGTTATTCTTGCACTGCCTTTGCTCCACTTTGTGTACATTTGCTTCCAAATGAGATCAATTTCGGATTTCAAAAAGGGTTCACGAGAACCAAACAACTGATTTTAAGAGGCCCCGAAAATTAAAAATAAGGTTAGATTTTTGGATTTTTAGAAATATTACAGTAAATTTAAACTTTCTGTCTTAGGATTTTTTTAGTTTTTGACTAAAACTCGACTTACAGTCAAAAGAAGAGCTTAAAACGCAGTGTTTTAACTTTAAATACCGATAATTCATAATCGCGGCCATATTTAAAAAATCCCTAAGACAGAAATCTGCGGAAATCGTTCCTCTTTTAAACAAGCCCTCAATGAGGTAATTTGAGCGATTTTTGGGAATGGTTAAAATACCATGTTTGCACGCGTGCTATGACACTTGGATATGGGGACCTGGATTTTATAACAGCGTCAACAAGAATTCTGACCTTTAAGGTCACCCACGATGACGGCAGTAGCTTCGTTACATGTTACATATCCACAATAAAATCACGGCATAGATGTAATGTTTTGAAAACGGTTCATATTTGTGGAAAGGTGGATTTTTCCTGTTCCGTGGTTCCCAAGTAAAAAAGGGCTTGAAGTAGCCGGTTGTAGCGGCTTTACTGTAAATGACCGCGGGTAACCCCAGATCGAACGCCCGCTCTATTCGAATGACGTCATATCGAACAAGATTCGCGGGTTCGGGGGATTCGATCTCCATAGTAGCGGATTGGGACTTTTGGGCCCAAATCTGACCATCGTGTTTGTCGGCCATTTCAACGCTTGGAAACTCGCTGTAGAGATGCACCCCAAAATGGCGTCGCACGGGACATGAGGGGTCGTGACGTCATGATGACGTGTGGTGAATAAGCTCTATAGATAGATAGATAGATAGATAGATAGATAGATAGATAGATAGATAGATAGATAGATAGATAGTCAAATAGAATGAAAAGGTGTACTAGTAGTCAAATAAAATAAAAGCCCAGAAAAATTATTCGCCCCGTTGGCCCGAGCGCCGCCTAGCGGTAGCTGTGATAATTGCTCCATATTGCAAGCTGAGGAATGCGCAGAGTGGAAGGTTCACACCCCTTGGACTTATCAAGCTCCTGTCATTCAAAGTTGTTTCAAATTTTGATAATCTGAAATGGAGCATGTAGACCTAATCTTCCTAGCTTTACAGTCTTCTTTGGCTCCAGTCTTGTCTCCGAGAGAAATCTGTTGACCAAGTTTCACAAGCTGCCACATGAAATCGAACTCCGCGGAGCAAAGTGTAACATGAAACCGTCTCCGCTTTGCCTCATTATGAATCCCATCTCCGCGGAGCTCATTCCGCTAACCCCCGTGACTCCTTCCACCAGACGTGTCGTGGTATGGAAGGAAGTATCGAGGGTTTCTCGTCGTCTTTCTACGAGCCTTCGTCTTTCTACGAGCCTTTTTTGGCTCAGATCGTCGGGATTTCGTCCTACATACAACTCAGGTACGTACCAAGAGCTTGTCTACTCTACAGTTATCGATGTGATGAGAGAATAACACGTACAAGTTTGTTTTACGCTCTCTGAGTCTCTCATTAGCTAGACGCTAGCGACGTGTGTGCCGCTGGTGAGAAGTTCTGCTCGAAAAGCATTTCTTGTTTGTAAACAAGTTTCTGTCAGAAACAACAGCGTCTATATAGAGCAGCACACACACGCAAACTTTCTTATTTTTTGCTGTGTCCATGTAGGTGGAAAATGGCGTAGATCGTTTCCAAATTTGTCTGAGAAAAAGTTGTTGACACCTCGACGAAGGTCTAGAAGGGGTTATGCGGTCTCCTTAAATATTGGAAATCAAACACGGCAACAAGAGTGCTTGCTTATTGTACAAGTATAACACAAACGCCTCCCTATAAACCACAATTGATTTTGCAGACAAGTGGTAATTTGGGGGTTGAAATTTGGAAGCTCTTTTGAGAATATTCTGTAAACCCCCAAATGTGCCTCGTAACGGTCTTCCCGCCCAGACATCTGGTTTCTATCATGGAGGAAAAGTCTGGAGTCGGGGGAGGTTCATTAACTCTCGTACATGTGGCGTTATTGATAGAGTGGAGTTAGGGGTGATACATTAACCATTTAGAAGCTTTTTTCGAAGGAAGCTTTGTCGACTGAGGGTATATTTGAGGGTAATGCACGCTTCTGATCACATCTTTTTGTTTTCCACAGGATTCCATAGTCCATTAGTGCTGAAAAAAAGGGAAAACAGTATTCCATAGTCCAGTAGTGCTGAAAAAAGGAAATACAGGATCCCATAGTCCAGTAGAGCTGAAAGGAAAACAGTGAGGCTCCAGCTGTGTTCTTCCAGACATCAGTACTCTGGTGTAGCAGTTCAAGACTTGACTGTGTAAAAGATATTTTGCAGGTAAGAACATTTATTAACTTCTCCAAGAAAAAGTTGCATATTTTGTTGCATTTCTATGTATTTGGTTTAGCAGCATATCTTAAGAGACGTGAAATTTCTCATGAAATTCGAAATAATCTGATTCTTGTCCCAGTGAAATTATATATTAGCACTCTTTAGCAGCTTTCCTAGATACTATAGAATCAATGGTGTTTCTATGTTCTGGACAAGCAATGATGTGAATTTTTGCATAAGTGATAACTTTTCTGTTTGGAAAAATTGACCCAACTCGCCAATTTAAGTTTTGCATCAATAAGTAAAGGTTCAAACAACAGCGTCAAAGTCATCACAGCAAGCACTAAATTTCCGAGGAATTGTTTCTTTTAGATTGAGTAAATATATAGTCAGCAGGATACATGTCCTGAGCAGACAGGAACTGTGTTGAAATGAAATGATGTTCATCTTCATACTCTAGAACTATAGAGGTGAGTTCGGCTTTTGTTACCATGGCAACAAATAGTGGTGGCTCTGATGGCATCAAAGGAAGATCGGATGGGACATCTGCCACAAAAACATACAGGTGTGGTGAGTGCAGCAAGCAGTTCAGTCAGCTGGGTATTCTGAAGACTCACATGCAGACTCACACAGGTGAGAAACCCTATAGGTGTGAGGAGTGCAGCAAGCAGTTCAGTCAGCTAAGTAATCTGAAAAAACACATGCGAACTCACACTGGTGAGAAACCCTATAGGTGTGAGAAGTGCAGTAAGGAGTTCAATCAGCTATGTCATCTCAACACTCAGCTAAGTAATCTGAAAAAACACATGCGAACTCATACAGGTGAAAAACCCTACAGGTGTGAGGAGTGCAGCAGGCAATTCAGAGAGTTTGGTAATCTTAAGGCACACATGCGGATTCACACAGGTGAGAAACCCTATAGGTGTGAGGAGTGCAGCAAGCAGTTCAGCCAGCTAAGTAATCTGATAAAACACATGCAGACTCACACAGGTGAAAAACCCTACAAGTGTGAGGACTGCAGCAGGCAGTTCAGTCAGCTAAGTAATCTGAAGAAACACATGCGGACTCACAAAGGGGAGAAACCCTACAAGTGTGAGGAGTGCAGCAGGCAGTTCAGTCAGCTGGGTAATCTGACAACCCACATGCGGACTCACACAGGTGAGAAACCTTACAGTTGTGAGGAGTGCAGCAGGCAGTTCAGTCAGCTGTGTAGTCTGAAGGACCACATGCGCACTCACACAGGAGAAAAACCCTACATGTGTGAGGAATGTGGCAGGCAGTTTCGTCACTGGAGTGCTTTAAAGTGTCACATGCGAACTCACACAGGTGAGAAACCCTACAAGTGTGAGGAGTGCAGCAAGCAGTTCAATAGGTTGAATAGTCTGAAGACACACATGCGGTCTCACACAGGGGAGAAACCCTACAGGTGTGAGGAGTGCAGCAGGCAGTTCAGTGATTTGGGTAATCTGAAGAAACACATGCGGACTCACTTGTAAGAAACAGGTGTAACTGAGGACTACAAAACTGCACAGTTCAGAAAGTTGTGAGCTCTGAGCCTGGTCCTTTGAAATATTCAGCTTGCAAAGTCTGACAGTGAAGAATCTTCAACAGTGTGAGGAGTACAGCAAACTGTTCAGTCACCTGGACCCTTACAAGAGACACATGCAAACTCTTAAGTGGGAGATTTTGGAATAATTTAACTCTTGTGCAGACCTAGAGAAGGTGGATCATGTGAAAAACCATACAGGAAAAAATCAAAGGAATACTCAGATTGAGGACATTTCGTGTTGAACAAGACTAAGCTCATTTTTTTTCCAACGGTTGAACCCGTTAACTCTTTATATTGTTAGAGTGAGGAAGCAAACTGGTAAAGGAACATCTAGGTACTATCTCTTCTTGATGTACTACAAACAGTGACTTTAAAACTTTGTGTAAAGTTTGCTTTAGTGTCTTTCCCCGAATATTTTGTTCCTTGCATGCATAGGACTGCATGTGGTACATCTGGTTTGTAGCTTTCCATAGCATATCATAACAACTTAGATGATATAGGGATTGTGAAATACATGTACTGTATTTAGAGCTAACTAACCTAAGTTTATTTTTGTTAAGTTCTTTTGTTACAGAGGTAGAGAGTTTTGTATTTATAGAAGGATTACCATCCCATCCAATATTAGCGTGTTGTTTATTCTGTTAACCTAGATATTTATGGAATCAGTTCATTTAGTCCAGTATTTGAACTCCTGTATCTAATGGTTGCGATAGATGATAGAATTAGTGGGTGTAGTTGTAAGTGCATAGAAAGAGGCTTATTGCTGATATTCTACTGTATTACATTCTGTAGCACTAACATGTAGATGTTATAGAGCCTAATATTTACTCTTCAAGTACGTGTATTATGTATATAAGGTAGGTGGCCTTTTGAGCTTTTGTTATGTGAACATGGGTTTGTTCAACATTATCGTTTGTAAAAATAAATGTTCTTTTTGAATTTCAAATATGTGTTTGTTTCTAACTCCAGTCTCGTTGCAGATGTGAAGAATATGTGCAAAATATTCAAACACCACGATCCATAAATTCATAATCTTTGAAATGTGAATATGTATATAACTACAGAACCGCTAAATAAGTGACTTAAGAATCAGGGTCTAGTCAAATACTGGTAGAAATTAGAATGAAAGCTTAGGGTAAAAACTGTCGGCGACGTTGGCCCCAGCGCCGCCTAGCGGTAGCTGTGATAATTGCTCCAATATTGCAAAGCTTGTACAGAGTGGTACTCTCCAAGCAGAGGTTGATGGTGGAAAATCGTTTGCTTTTTATATATGACCTTTTTTTGTTTACAGACTGGCCAATCTGATACTGTCTTACCCCTACAAAAGATCTGCTTGGAGATTACAGAGTGGAAGGTTGACAACCCTTGGTCCTTGCTTGGACTTAGCATTCAAAGCTGTTTCAAAATTTGATAATCTGATGAAATGGAGCATGGAGACCCAATCTTCCTAGCTTTACAGTCCTCTTTGGCTCCAGTCTTGTCGAAAGAGATCTGTTGACCAAGTTTCGCAAGCTGCCACTTGAATTCGAACTCCGCGGAGCAAAGTGTCAAAAAACCGCCTCCGCTTTGCCTCATTATGAATCCCATCTCCGCGGAGGTCATTCCGCTAACCTCCGTGTCTCCGTCCACCAGACGTGTCGTGGTGTGGAAGAAAGTATCGAGGGTTTCTCGTCGTCTTTCTACGAGCCTTTTTTGGTTCAGAACGTCGGGATTTCATCCTACATACATCTCAGGTACGTACCAAGAGCTTGTCTACTCTACATTTATCTATGTGACGGGAGAATAACACGTACAAGTTTGTTTTACGCTCTCTGAGTCTCGCTATATAACGTTAGCCGCTAGCGACGTGTGTGCCGCTTGTGAGAAGTTATATACTGCTCGAAAAGCAACGGTTTCTTGTTTGTAAACAAGTTTCTGTCACAAACAACAGAGTTTATATAGAGCAGTACGTACACACACACACACGTACGTAAATTTTATTTGGTTTTGTTGTGCCCTTGTAGGAGTAAAATGGCGTAGATCGTTTCCAAATTTGTCTGAGAAAAAGTTGTTGACACCTCAGCGAAGGTCTAGAAGGGGTTATGTCGACTCCTTAAAAATTAGAAATAAAACACAACATGTCCTTGCATGTAGTACAATTGACAAAAATGCCGGTCTTGGAATCCACAGTTAATTTTGTAGACTAAGGGTAATTTTGGGGTTGAAATTTAGCTTTTTTCGAGGTAAAATATTGTGTAAACCCCCAAATGTGCCTCGTGATGGTATTACGCCCAGACATCTGGTTTCTATCATGGAGGAAAGGTCAGGATTAAGGGGAGGTTCATTAACTATCGCACATGTTGCGTTATTGATTGATGGAGAGTAAGGGGTGATTCACTGACTATCTAAGAGGATCTTTGTCGACTGAGGGGATATTTGGAGGAAATGCATGACTTTAGATAATATTTTTTTCCTTTTCCGTTTTTGAAAGGATTCCTTAGTCCAGTAGTGCTGAAAGGGAAAACAGGATTCCATAGTCCAGTAGTGCTGAAAGGGAAACAGGATTCCATAGTCCAGTAGTGCTGCCTGCCCTGCTGAAAGGGAAAACAGTGAGGCTTCACCTGTGTTCTTCCAGACATCAGTACTCTGGTGTAGCAGTTCAAGACTTGACTGTGTAAACTTATATTGCAGGTAAGAACATATCATAACATGTCAAGGGAAGTTATATTTAGGTGCTTTTGTATGTATGTGGTTTTTTACTCGTTACAGTGTTCGAAATACCTGTCTGCAGTCTGCAATCTGCAGATAGATTTTCAAGATTGCAGAAGAAAAATTTATACAATCTGCAATTTTGCAGAAGGAAAAATTGGCACTTGGGATTTGGCGCTCTTGGCCCCAAGGACAGACAACACTGAAGCTCCTATTCTGAAACAACAGGAGCTTCTTCACTAATTTGCATCAACCTTGTCTTGACTTGTCTATCTTTTGTTTCTTTTGGACTTCCAAACATTTGTCTTCACTAATTTGCATATTAATCAATAGTTCATGCTTATAAACCTGCAAGATTGTAGTATGGAGGCTTGTGTATTTGCAGAAAGTATTTCCAAATTGCAGAACAAAATTTTGACTCTTCTGCAATATTGCAGAGCGCTGAAAAAAAGTATTTCGACCACTGCGTTATTTTACTTTATTCTTATTAAATGCGTTATTTTACTTTATTCTAATTAATTTGAATGATATAGGCTAAATCTTTATGATTGATCTTGTATTTCACACTGTATTTTAAAATTATGTGCCCTATGTGTTTTGTCCTTATTAAGTTATATGTTGACTCCCTAATATCAGCTTTGCTGCCTTGAGAGTCAGTGTAATGTCTTGTTGCATTTTTCAATAAATAAACAAAAAAAGAATTTTTGCAGCGTATGTTAAGAGACCTGAAATTTGTCAAAAAATTTGGTATAATCTGATTCTTGTCCCAGTGAAGAAATTATTATATTTTAGGACACTTTAGCAGGTTTTGGATTTTCCTAGATACTATAGAATCTATGGTGTATCTATGTTCTGGACAAGCAATGATAATAATTTTTGCATAAGTGATAACTCTTCTGTTTTGAAAAATTGACACAGCATGCCAATTTAAGTTTTGCATCAATAAGTAAAGGTTCAAACAAACACCGTCAAAATAATCACAGCAAGCACCAATATTCCAAAGAAATTCTTGGTTTTGTTTCTTTCAGATTGAGTAATTATATGATCAGCATGATACATGTCCTGAGCAGGTAAAAAATGTGTTGAAATTAAATGTTGTTCATCTTCATTCTCCAGAACTACAGAGGTGAATTCAGCTTTTGTTACCATGGCAACAAATAGTGGTGGATCTGATGGCATCAAAAGAACATTGGATGGGAGATCTGTCACAAAAACATACAGGTGTGGTGAGTGTAGCAAGGAGTTCAGTCGGCTGGGTCTTCTGGAGAATCACATGCGGACTCACACAGGAGAGAGGCCCTACAAGTGTGAGGAGTGTGGCAGGCAGTTCAGTCAGCTGAGTAATCTGAAGAAACATATGCAGACTCACACAGGGGAGAAACCATACAGGTGTGAGGAGTGCAGCTATCAGTTTAGAGAGCTGGGTCATCTGAAGAGACACGTGCGGATTCACACGGGGGAGAAACCCTACAGGTGTGAGAAGTGCAACAGGCAGTTCAGTCACCTGGGTAGTTTGAAAATTCACATGCAGACTCACACAGGGGAGAAACCATACAGGTGTGAGGAGTGCAGCTATCAGTTTAGAGAGCTGGGTCATCTGAAGAGACACGTGCGGATTCACACGGGGGAGAAACCCTACAGGTGTGAGAAGTGCAACAGGCAGTTCAGTCACCTGGGTAGTTTGAAAATTCACTTGCGGACTCACACAGGTGAGAAACCTTACAATTGTGAGGAGTGCAGCAGGCAGTTTAATCAGCTGGGTAATCTGAAGACACACATGCGGTCTCACACAGGTGAGAAACCCTACAAGTGTGAGGAGTGTGGCAGGCTGTTCAGTCGACTGGGTGACCTAAAGACACACATACGTACTCACACAGGTGAGAAACCCTACAAGTGTGAGGAGTGCAGCAGGCAGTTCAGTCACTGGAGTGCTCTAAAGTGTCACATGCGGACTCACACAGGGAGAAACCCTAGAGGTGTGAGGAATGCAGCAGGCAGTTCAGTCAGCTGTGCCATCTGAAGTCTCACATGCGGACTCACACGGGAGAAACCTTACAGGTGTGAGGAGTGCAGTAGGCAGTTTAGTGAACTGGGTGATCTGAAGAAACACATGCAGACTCACCTGTGAGAAACCCTACAGGTGTGACTGAGGAGTACAAAACCTCACAGTTTTGAGGATTGAGTTGTGAGCCTGGTCCTATGAAATATCCAGTTTTCAAAGTCTGACATGGAAGAAACTGCAACAGTGTGAGGAGTTCAGCAAACTGTTTAGTCGACTAGTCACCTGGGTCATTGTAAGAGACACATGCAAACTCTAATGTGGGAGATTTTAGACTAACTCAAGTTGTGTGCAGACCTAGAGAAGGTGATGCCATATAGGAAAAGCAAAGAAATACTGGGATTCAGGACATTAACGTTGTACAAGACACCATGCTGAATAACTAAGAGCAAGTTTTTATTTACAATCCTGTTAACTCTTTATTGAGAGTGAGAAATCCAACTGGTAAAGGAACATCTATGTTTTGCCTCTTCATGATGTACTACAATGACTTTAAAACTGTGTGAAAAGTTTGATTTAGTGTATTTTTTATACAATGTTTTGTTGCTTGAAAATGTTGGTTTGTAGCAATTCATGACATAGCATAACAACTTAACTGATATAGGGGATTCCAAGTATTGTATATCAAGCCAACTTACCTAACTTCATTTGTTTAAACTTCTTATGTGATAGAAGAATATAGTTTCGTTTTTATACTAATGTTTCCATTTGATATAAGCATATGTTATTGTTTATTCTGTTAACCTAGATAATAGACTCAGTTAATGTATTTACTGTACATGTACTATTTGTTTTCTTATTTCTAAATAATGGTTGCGGTAGGGGATAGAATTGGTGCTTGTTGTTCTAAGTAGATAAAAAATAGTGTTTTTGCTGATATTCTACTCTAAGCTGTTACATTTTGTAGCTATAGAAAGTTATAGAACCTAATATTTACTCTTGAAGTATGTATATGCAAATTTATAAGTGACTTCTTCAGTTTTTGTTATGTTAACATGCATTTGTTGGAAATAAATTTTCGTTTTGCATTTTAGATATGCATTTGTTTATAACTGGTCTGTTTGTAGATAAGAAGAATATGTTCAAATGTGAATATACATAAAATAAAGTATATTCTCCTCGGCTCAAGAGCCTACACAGGCCAGCTCCTCAGCTACAGGACCAACATTCCTGATTCTTGTTGCATCAGGCAACAGCCAGGGGTACTGTAATGTTGACCCTGTCACGCACAGAGATATATTTTATGCTAGTATAGCCTCTACCAGGTTTTGGGAGGTGGCTGGAAAAAGTTAGTAGATATTGGCCAAATAGAGAGATAACATGCCAAGTGAGTAACGTGTACTATCTAGCGGACCAACTCCCCTGGCATATTTAGCTATCTATTTGGCCAATTTCTACTCTTTCGACCAGTGGCTAATGCTAGTAGGCAAAGAATTTTGTCGACCATGTACTTTCAGCTTTTGCATTAGAAATTTATTTAGTTTACCAGTAGATAAGTATCAACCAAATGCATGGATTTGGTGAAGAAATATACCACGGCGGCCAATTTCTAGGGTAAAGTTTCCAATTCTACGGAAGGGTATCAGGTTACCGGGGTTCCACGCTCGGCTTCCGTGGAGACGGTCTCAACGGTAAACATTTTGTTAAGCAATAATTAACAGTTTCACGGGGACTCCCTTGTCCAAACGTGATTACAATGCTTAAATGTGTGTGAAATCACTCTCAACGTGTAGAATGTTTATTCTAGAACAATCGACGTCAATAACACCGACCCCAAATCTCTCAGAAAATTCCACATTTTTGCATTTTAGAGAACAGTATAACAAAATTAAGATTTGAGTCGGACAGTTTTCTTTATTTCAAAGTTAAAGTGTTGCTAAGGTCGAAAAATTCGCCAAAAAATGCACTTTTTCAACTTCCAAGACGGATAATTCCAGAACGCCGCCATCTTCAAAAAATCCGTCCGACACAGATCGAGATTTTTGTCTTACCTACAATTTAAAACGTTTTTGAGGTAAATTGAATTTGTTTTTCTTGCAGTTTAAATACCATGTTTGTACGCATGTCAGGTCGTTTGAGTAAGTGCAGGGGGTAACTTATATCCCCGTAAACAACAATTACGATCCTCAAGGTCACACACCTTGACAGCAGTAGCTTCGTTACATGTTACATATCCACTATAAAACTGGGCATAGATATACTGTCCCGAAATCGGTTAAAATTTTTGAAAAGGTGGAATTTGTACTGTTAGGCGGTACCCGTGTAAAAACGGGCTTGAAGCCGCGGGTTTACTGCACATGACCGCGGGTAACCCCGGATCGAACGAACGTTCGGTTCGATTGACGTCATATCGAACATGATTCTATTCGAATGACGTCATATCGAACATGATTTTGTTCGATAAAATGGTTGGAATATTTGGGCCCAAATTTGACCTTCGTGATACTGTAGAATTGAGTAGATATTTGGCATGCTACCTAAACTCAAGTTCAGAATTTAATGGCTTTCATAATGAATTAATAACAGAACCGTCAAATATAAAATAACTTCAGATTCAGGGTCTAGTCGAATAGAATGAAAAGCCAGCGTAAGAAAATATTCGCCCCGTTGGCTCAAGTTTTCTGGAAAGAAATTTCTTTTTCAAAGTTGCACAAACTCGTTCCACAAACACAAGTTCCACAAACACAAGTTCCACAAGAATTTGAACTCCGCGGAGCAACGTGTAACATGAAACCGCCTCCACTTTGCCACATCATAAATCCTATCTCCGCGGAGCTCATTCCACTAACCTCCGTGTCTCCGTCCACCAGACGTGTCGTGGTGTGGAAGAAAGTATCGAGGGTTTCTCGTCTTTCTACGAGCCTTTTTTCTGTTCAGATCGTCTGGATTTCATCCTACATACAGCTCAGGTACGTACCAAGAGCTTGTCTACTCTACAGTTATCGATGTGACGGGAGAATAACACGTACAAGTTTGTTTTACGCTCTCTGAATCTCTCACTAGCTACATGTAGCCGCTAGCGACTTGTGTGCCGCTTGTGAGAAGTTCTATACTGCTCGAAAAGCTACGGTTTCTTGTTTGTAAACAGGTTTCTGTGAGCAACAACAGAGTTTATATAGAGCAGCACACGCACGCAAACTTTCTTTGGTTTTGTTGTGCCCTTGTAGGAGTAAAATGACGTAGATCGTTTCCAAATTTGTCTGAGAAAAAGTTGTTGACACCTCGTCGAAGGTCTAGAAGGGGTTATGCGGTCTCCTTAAATATTGGAAATCAAGATAGAAATTTTGAGATAGAATATTCTGTAAATCCTCAAATGTGCCTCGTAACGGTCTTCCCGCCAAGACATCTGGTTTCTATCATGGGGGAAAGGTCCTGTGGCAGACTGAAACTTTTGAAATTAAATATTGTACATCTTCATACTACAGGGCTGTAAAGGTGAACTCGGATTTTTTGTTACCATGGCAACAAACTTCGGTGGCTCTGATGGCATCAAAAGAGGATTGAATGGGAGATCTGCCAGAAAAACATACAGATGTGAGGAGTGTAGCAAGCAGTTCAGTCGGCTGGGTCATCTGGAGGCTCACATGCGTACTCACACAGGTGAGAAACCCTACAAGTGTGAGGAGTGCAGCAGACAGTTCAGTGAGCTGAGTAAACTGAAGAGCCACATGCGGACTCATACAGGGGAGACACCCTACAAGTGTGAGGAGTGCAGCAGACAGTTCAGTGAGCTGAGTAACCTGAAGAGCCACATGCGGACTCATACTGGGGAGAAACCCTACAGGTGTGAGGAATGCAGCAGGCAGTTCCGTTATCTGTGTAATCTGAAGAACCACATGCGGACTCACACTGGGCAGAAACCCTACAGGTGTACAGAGTGCAGCAAGCAGTTCAGTCAATGGGGTACTTTAAACTCTCACATGCTGACTCACACAGGTGAGAAGCCCCACAGATGCGAGGAATGCAGCAGGCAGTTTAGTCGGCTGGGTAGTCTGAAAAAACACATGCGGACTCATACTGGTGACAAACCTTACAAGTGTGAGGAGTGCAGCAGGCAGTTCAGTGAGCTGGGTAGTCTCAAAACCCACATGCGGACTCACACTGGGGAGAAACCTTACAAGTGTGAGGAGTGCAGCAGACAGTTCAGTCAGCTGGGAAGTCCGAAGAAACACGTGCGGACTCACACAGGGGAGAAACCTTACAAGTTTGAGGAGTGCAGCAGACAGTTCAGTGAGTTGGTTAGTCTGAAGAAACACATGCGGACTCACACAGGTGAGAAACCCTACATGTGTGAGGAATGCAGTAGACAGTTCAGTGTTCTGGGTAATCTGAAGAAACACATGCGGACTCACACAGGTGAGAAACCCTACATGTGTGAGGAATGCAGCAGGCAGTTCAGTGAGCTGGGTAATCTGAAGACTCACATGCGGACTCACACAGGGTTGAAACCGTACAGGTGTGAGGAATGTAGTAGTCAGTTCAGTCACTGGAGTGCTCTAAAGTGTCACATGCGGACTCACACAGGGGAGAAACCCTAAAGGTGTGAGGAATGCAGCAAGCAGTTTAGTAGGCTGGGTAGTCTGAAGAAACACATGCGGACTCACTTGTGAGAAATCGGTGTAACTGAGGACTACAAAACAGCACAGTTTAGAGAACTATGAGTGAGCCTGGTCCTTCGAAATATTCAGTTTGCAAAGTCTGACAGGGAAGAAACTCTAACAGTTTCAGGAGTTCAGTAGACTGTTCAGTTACCAGGGTCATTGCACAAGACACATGCAAACTCTTTAGTGGGAGATTTTAGAAGAAATCAACTTGTGTGCAGACCTACAGACGGTGGACCATTTGATATCATATAGGAAAAACAAACCAATACGTCGATTAAGGACATAATGCAGAAAAATAATGTTGTACAAGGCACTAGGGTGACTAAGCAATTTTTTTCTTTTTACAACCCTATTAACTCTCTTTATTGAGAGTGAGAAACCCAACTGGCAAAGGAACATTTATGCATTTTCTCTTCTTGATGTACTACAAACAGTGACTTCAATTTAACTGTGTGTAAAGTGTGCTTTAGTGTCTTTCCCGTAATGTTTTGTTCCTTTGAAATGTTGAACTTCATGTGGTACATCTGTATTGTAGCATTCCATGGCATAGCATAACAACTTTTAAGTGAAAACTGATATAGTGATTGTGAAATACTGTATATAGAGCTAACTAAACTAAGTTTATTTCTTTAAAGTTCTTTTGTTATAGAGGAAGAGAGTTTTGTTTTTGTAGGATTACTATCCCATTCAATATTAGCATGATAATATTGTTTATTCTGTTAACCTAGGCTATAGAATCAGTTTATTTAGTTCAGTATTTGTTATCTTGTTTCTGACTAATGGTTGCGATAGATGATAGAATTAGTGGATGAAGTTGTAAGTGCATAGGAAGAAGTTTGTTGCTAATATTCTACTGTATTACATTTTGTTGCAATAGAACTAACAGGTAGTTGTTATAGAGCCTAATATTTACTCTTCAAGTACATGTATAATTTATATAAGGTAGGTGGCCTTTTGAGCTTTTGTTATGTGAACATGGGTTTGTTCAACGTTTTCGTTTGTTGAAATAAATGTTCTTGTTGAAGTTTGGATATGCGTTTGTTCAAAACACTGATCTGGTCGCAGATGTGAAGACTGTGCACATTATTGAAACACTGTGATCCATGAATTCACAATCTTTGTTGAAGCGTGATCCATCAATTCACAATCTTTGTTGAAACGTGAACAGAATATGTGTGATTCAGGTTCTAGTCAAATAGAATAAAAGCCCAGAAAAAAAATCGCCCCGTTAGCGGTAGCTGTAATAATTGCACGTATATCGCAAGGCTTGCGCAGAGTTGAAGGTTGACATCCCTTTGACTTATCAAGTAGCTTGGGTGCCATCCTAGTTGTATGCTTGGGCTCCCGCATGCTGCCCCCTAAGAAATATTTTACAGGGGGAAGTATGGGAGCCCTGGCATACACATGATAGGATGGCACCCAGGTTACTTATCAAGCTCCAGTCATTCAAAGTTGTTTCAAATTTTGATAATCTGAAATGGAGCATGTAGACCTAATCTTCCTAGCTTTACAGTCTTCTTTGGCTCCAGTCTTGTCTCCGTGAGAAATCTGTTGACCAAGTTTCACAAGCTGCCACATGAATTCGAACTCCGCGGAGCAAAGTGTAACAAGAAACCGCCTCCCCTTTGCCTCATCATGAATCCCACCTCCGCGGAGCTCGTTCCGCTAGCCCCCGTGTCTCGTTCACCAGACGTGTCGTGCTTGCTTATTGTACAAATATAATACAAACGGCTTTCTATTACCAACAGTTGATTTTCCATACAAATGGTAATTTTTGGGTTGAAGTTTGGAAGTCCTTTTGAGATAGGATATTCTCTAAACCCCCAAATGTGCCTCGTTCTGGTCTTCCCGCCCAGACATCTGGTTTCTATCTAGGGCAAAAGGTCAGGAGTTAGGGGAGGTTCATTAACCCTCGTGCATGTACGTCATTGATTAAGGGGAAACGAAATGCAGGCTTCTGATCACATCTTTTTGTTTTCCACAGGATTCCATAATCCAGTAGGATTCCATAGTCCAGCAGTGCCTGCCCTGCTGAAAGGGAAAACAGTGAGGCTTCGCCTGTGTTTTTCCAGACATCAGTACTCTGCCAGACTGAAGTAGCAATACTTGACTGTGTAAACTCGGATTTTTTGTTACCATGGCAACAAACGGCTGTGGCTCTGATGGCATCAAAAGAGGATCTGCAACAAAAATGTACAGGTGTGAGGAGTGCAGCAAGCAGTTCAGTCGGCTGTGTACTCTCAAGACACACATGCGAACTCACACAGGGGAGAAACCTTACAGGTGTGAGGAGTGCAGCAGGCAGTTCAGTCAGCTGTGTACTCTCAAGGCACACATGCGGACTCACACAGGTGAGAAACCCTACAAGTGTGAGGAGTGCAGCAAGCAGTTCAGTCAGCTGTGTACTCTCAAGACACACATGCAGACTCACACAGGTGAGAAACCCTACAGGTGTGAGGAGTGCAGCAAGCAGTTCGGTCATCTGGGTAGTCTGAAAAGACATATTCGCACTCACACATAGGAGAAACCCTTCAAGTGTGAGGAGTGCAGCAGGCAGTTCAGTATGCTGGCAAATCTGAAGACTCACATGCGGACTCACACAGGGGAGAAACCCTACAGGTGTGAGGAGTGCAGCAGGCAGTTCAGTCAGCTTGGTAATTTTAAGGCACACATGCGGACTCACACAGGGGAGAAACCCTACAGGTGTGAGGAATGCGGCAAGCAGTTTAGTGAGCTGGGTAGTCTGAAGGACCACATGCGGACTCACACAGGGGAGAAACCCTTCAGCTGTGAGAAGTGTGGCAAGCTGTTCAGTTGGCAAGGTAATCTGAAGAGACACATGCTGACTCACTTGTGAGAAACCCCACAGGTGTGACTGAGGAGTACAAAACCGCACAGTTTTGAGGATTCAGTTGTGAGCCTGCTCCTATAAAATACCCAGCTTGCAATGTCTGACAGGGAAGAAACTCTAACAGAGTTCAGCAAACTGGAATAACTCAACTTGTGTGCAGACCAATAGAAGGCTGATCATATGAAAAACCATACAGGAAAAAAGTTAAAGGAATACTCAGTCAGATTGAGGACATTTGGTGTTGTACAAGACTAAGATCAAGTTTTTATTTCCAACCTGTTAACTCTTTTTATTGAGAGAGTGAGAAATCCAATTGGCAAAGGAAAATATATGTATTATCTTTATGATGTACTACAAACAGCGACTTAACATTTGTGTAAAGTTTGCTTTAGTGTCTTTCATAGAATGTTTTGTTCCTTGGAAACATTAGACTATATTTGGTACATCTGGTTTGTAGCATTCCACAGCATAGCGTAACAATATTACTGATACAGGGGAGATAAAATACTGTATATCAAGCTAACTAACCTAATTTTTTTTTATATAGCGAAAGAGAGATTTGTTTTTATAGGATTACCATCCACTATTAGTATGTTGTTGTTTATACTGTTAACCTAGATATTTAGGGTCAGATTATTTAATACAGTATTTGTTTTCTTGTTTTTATAGATGGATTACCACCCCATCCAGTATTAGCATGTTATTTTTTATTCTGTTAACCTAGATATTTATAGAATCAGTTTATTTAATATTGTATTTCTTTTCTTGTTTCTGACTAATGGTTTCAATAGATGATAGAATTAGTGGATGTAGTAAGTTGTAAGTGCATGGAAAGAAGTTTGTTCCTAATATTCTACTGTATTACATTTTGTAGCAATAGAACTAACAGGTAGTTGTTATAGAGCCTAATATTTACTCTTCAAGTACGTGTATTATGTATATAAGGTAGAGGGCCTTTTGAGCTTTTGTTATGTGAACATGGGTTTGTTCAACGTTATCGTTTGTTAAAAATAAATGTTCTTTTTGAATTTTAAAAATGTGTTTGTTTCTAACTCCGGTCTCGTTGCAGATGTGAAGAATATGTGCAAAATATTGAAACACCACGATCCATAAATTCATAATCTTTGAAATGTGAATATGTACATGTATATAACTACAGAACCGCTAAAAAAGTGACTTAAGAATCATGCAGGGTCTTGTCAAATACTGGTAGAAATTAGAATGAAAGCTTAGGGTAAAACTGTCGACGAGGTTGGCCCCAGCGCCGCCTAGCGGTAGCTGTGATAATTGCTCCAATATTGCAAGGCTTGTACAGAGTGGTACTCTCCAAGCAGAGGTTGATGGTGGAAAATCGTTTGCTTTTTATATATGACCTTTTTTTGTCTACAGACTGGCCAATCTGATACTGTCTTACCCCTACAAAAGATCTGCTTGGAGATTACAGAGTGGATGGTTGACAACCCTTGGTCCTTGATTGGACTTAGCATTCAAAGCTGTTTCAAAATTTGATAATCTGATGAAATAGAGCATGGAGACCTAATCTTCCTAGCTTTACAGTCCTCTTTGGCTCCAGTCTTGTCGAAAGAGATCTGTTGACCAAGTTTCGCAAGCTGCCACTTGAATTTGAACTCCGCGGAGCAAAGTGTCAAAAAACCGCCTCATTATGAATCCCATCTCCGCAGAGCTCATTCCGCTAACCTCCGTGTCTCCGTCTACCAGACGTGTCGTGGTGTGGAAGAAAGTATCGAGGGTTTCTCGTCGTCTTTCTACGGACATTTTTCGGTTCAGGTCGTCGGGATTTCATCCTACATACATCTCAGGTACGTACCAAGAGCTTGTCTACTCTACAGTTATCTATGTGACGGGAGAATAACACGTACAAGTTTGTTTTACGCTCTCTGAGTCTCTCGCTATATAACGTTAGCAGCTAGCGACGTGTGTGTCGCTTGTGAGAAGTTATATACTGCTCGAAAAGCAACGGTTTCTTGTTTGTAAACAAGTTTCTGTCACAAACAACAGAGTTTATATAGAGCAGTACACACACACACACGTACGTAAATTTTATTTGGTTTTGTTGTAGGAGTAAAAATGGCGTAGATCGTTTCCAAATTTGTCTGAGAAAAAGTTGTTGACACCTCGGCGAAGGTCTAAAGGGGGTTACGCGGTCTCCTTAAATATTGGAAATCAAACACGACAACAGAAGTGCTTGCTTATTGCACAAATATGATACAAACGCCTTTCTATAATCCATAGTTGATTTTACAGATAAAGGGTAATTTTGGGGTTGACATTTGGAAGCTTTTTTTGAGATAGAATATTCTGGAAAGCCCCAAATGTGCCACGTAACGGTCTTCCCGCCCAGACATCTGGTTTGTATCATAGAGAAAAGGGTCAGGAATCAGGGGAGGTTCATTAACCCTCGTACATGTTGCGTTATTGATTGAGGGAGAGTTGGGGATGATACATTAACTCTTTAGAAGGAATCTTTGTGGACTGAGGGGATATTTGAGGGTAATGCAGGCTTTCTGATCACATCTTTTTGTTTTCCATTTTCCACAGGATTCCTTAGTCCAGTAGTGCTGAAAGGGAAACAGGATTCCATAGTCCAGTAGTGCTGAAAGGGAAACAGGATTCCATAGTACAGTAGTGCTGAAAGGGAAAACAGGATTCCATAGTCCAGTAGTGCTGAAAGGGAAAACAGGATTCCATAGTCCAGTAGTGCAGCCTGCCTTGCTGAAAGGGAAAACAGTGAGGCTTCACCTGTGTTCTTCCAGACAACATCAGTACTCTGGTGTAGCAGCTTAAGACTTTTTGAAAAGATATTTTGCAGGTAAGAACATATTATTAACTTATCCAAGAAAAGGTTGCATATTTTGTTGCATTTGTATGTACCTGGTTTAGCAGCATATCTCAATAGGCTCTCAGTGGATTGTCATAAAATTTGGTATAATCTTGTCCCACTGATAAAATGATTATGTTTTTAGCACTACGGCAGATTTCCTAGCAACTGCAGTAGAACGCATGGTGTTTTTATGTTGTATTTGGGCAAAAGTTCTGGATAAGCAATGATGATAATTTTTGCAAAAGTGATAGCTCTTCTTTTTTAGAAGTGTCATAAATTTTGACTCTACAGTGCCAATTTAAGTTTTGCATCAATAGATAAAGGTTCAAACAAACTTATAGTGTCAAAACTATCTCAGTCAGCAACCAACAACTTTCCAAGTAATCATTGCCCTTTCTCTATGCCTGTACATTTCTTCGCACACTTAGGAGCCATGGCGTAGGGAGAAAATTCCAAGCGTTACAGAAACTTTTAAGGGTTGTAGAGTTACAGTTACCGGAAGTTTTACGGAGCCGTGCTGTCGCTGCCGTCGGCTCTGATCTCAAAGATGACCTCTGGGTCACGCAAGGTCAGAGGTCGGCAGCTAATTAGGTGATTTTGTCTTTCGCCAAAATACTCACAATTAAATGTTGTTCCTCCTCTTGCTGCAGGACTACAGAGGTGAATTCAGCTTTTGTTACCATGGCAACAAACAGCTGTGGCTCTAATGGCATCAAAAGAGGATCGGATGGGACATCTGCCACAAAAATGTACAGATGTGAGGAGTGCAGCAAGCAGTTCAGTCGGCTGGGTCATCTGGAGGCTCACATGCGGACTCACACAGGTGAGAAACCCTACAAGTGTGAGGAGTGCAGCAGACAGTTCAGTGAGCTGGGTAATCTGAAGAAACACATGCGGATTCATACTAGGGAGAAACCCTACAGGTGTGAGGAATGCAGCAGGCAGTTCCGTTATCTGTGTAATCTGAAGAACCACATGCGGACTCACACTGGGGAGAAACCCTACAGGTGTACGGAGTGCAGGAAGCAGTTCAGTCAATGGGGTACTTTAAACTCTCACATGCAGACTCACACAGGTGAGAAGCTCTACAAGTGTGAGGAGTGCAGCAAGCATTTTAGTCAGCTGGAACATTTGAAAAGACACATGTTGACTCACACTGGTGAGAAACCCCTTCAGGTGTGAGGAGTGTGGTAGGCAGTTCAGTCTGCCACATAGTCTGAAGACACACATGCGGACTCACACAGGTGAGAAACCCTACAAGTGTGAGGAGTGCAGCAGGCAGTTCACTCAGCTGTGTCATCTGAAGAAACACATGCGGACTCACACAGGGGAGAAATCCTACAGGTGTGAGGAGTGTGGCAGACAGTTCAGTGAGCTGAGTAAACTGAAGAGCCACATGCGGACTCATACAGGGGAGAAACCCTACAGGTGTGAGGAATGCAGCAGGCAGTTCCGTTATCTGTGTAATCTGAAGAACCACATGCGGACTCACACTGGGGAGAAACCCTACAGGTGTACGGAGTGCAGCAAGCAGTTCAGTCAATGGGGTACTTTAAACTCTCACATGCAGACTCACACAGGAGAGAAACCCTACAGGTGTGAGGAATGCAGCAGGCAGTTCAGTCAGCTGGGTACCCTGAAGAGCCACATGCGGACTCATACTGGAGAGAAACCCTACAGGTGTGAGGAGTGCAGCATGCGGTTCAGTCATCTGGGTAGTCTGAAGAAACACAGGCAGACTCACTTGTAAGAAACCTTACAGGTGTAACTGAGAAGTACAAAACCTTACAGTTTTGAGGATTGAGTTTTGACTATGGTCCTTTGAAATATCCAGTTTACTAAGTCTGACAGGGAAGAAACTCCAACAGAGTGAGGAGTTCAGCAAACTGTTCAGTCACCTGGGTTATACATTGTAAACGACACATGCAAACTCTAATAATGACTGAAAGAAGGTGGGTCACGTGAAACCATACAGGAAAAAAAGAAATACTTGGATTGAGGACATTCATGTTGTACAAGACACCTTTGTGACTAAGAGCAAGTTTTTTTGTACAATCCTGTTAACTCTCTTTGATATGAAAGTGAGGAATCAGACTGGTTAAGAAAACCTATGATGTGCTACAAACAACATTTCTGTACCCCTTGTTAAGTCTACAGCATAGCATAGGGGATGTTAAACATTGTATATCAAGCTAACTAACCCGTAACCTAAGTTTATTTCTTTAAAGTTCTTTTGTTATAGAGGAAGAGAGTTTTGGTTTTATAGATATTAGCATGTTATGGTTTATTCTGTTAAACTAGATATTCATTTATAGATTCTTTTAGTTAGTATGTTTTCTTGTTTCTTACTAATTGTTGCCATAGATGATAGAATTACCTGTAGTTCATGTAATTGAAGGTAGATAAAGACTAGTGTTGTTGCTGATATTCTAATCTACTGTAGTACATTTTGTAGCTATTATAGAAGTTAATATTCACTCTTGAAGTACATAGATCTGTATGCGAAGTGAGTGCCTGTTGTTAGTTTGTTACTAGTATGTTAAGATTCATTGGTTTATTTTCATTTGTTTTAAATAAATTTTCTTTTTGAACTTTAGATATGCGTTCGTTTATACCACTGGTCTGGTTGCAGATGTGAAGAATATGTGCGAAATATTGAAACGTTATCACGATCCATACATTCATACTCTTTGTAGACGTTTGAATATATAGAAACAACAGAACCGCCAAATGAGTAACTTCAGATTCAGGGTCTAGCCAAATCGAATGAAAGCCCAGCATGAAACATATTCAAGCCGTAGGCCCGAGCGCCGCCTAGCGGTAGCTGTAATAATTGCCCCTATGTATCGCAAGGCTTGCGCAGAGTTGAAGGTTGATGTCCCTTGGACTTATCAAGTAGCCTGGGTGCCATCCCAGTTGTATGCCTGAGCTCCCATACTGCCCCCTAACACTGCACGAAAAGTGGGATTTACCACCGAGATAAATGTGATGTAAAGCCGGGTAAAGGTTACATTTACTAGTGATTTACCAACATTTTGGAAACGTGTTCAAACAACGTCTGAAAGACACGTTTGTTTCTGGCTGGAGGCAAGAAATAAAAAATTACAATAAACTGCAAACCTATTCTAAATTCAAAACGGACTTCACTTTTGAGAAGTACCTTTCATCAATCCAAAACAAATCATTTGTTGCTAACATAACCAAACTGCGAATCAGTGCACATTGTCTAGAAATAGAAAAAGGTCGTTATAAGAATGTACCAGCCACTCAGAGACGCTGTCCTACATGTAAACATACTGTTGAAGATGAATTTCACTTTTTATTATCTTGTCCCATGTATACTGAAGAAAGGTTGACACTTATGAATATGATTTCACGTAACTCAAACATTACCTTACCTAAGACAAGCTCAGATACTTTTAATTTACTGATGTCATGTCCTGAACCAATATCCTTGTATATAGGCCAATTCATATCCTCTGCTCTTCGGAAAAGAAACAATATCATCTGTGACACCTTGAACTGATGTTAAACATTGTATCCATGTTCCATATATATGGTATAACTCATCACGCACAATTATAGGGTAGCATTAGAATTTGGTATCTAGAAGTAGATTTTAGTATTGTTGTTATCTTTTGATTTAAACACTTGCCATACATTGTATCCATTGCAATTGTTGCGCAATAAAGATTGATTGATTTACCCGTCGGTAAATGTGCAAATTTACCCGGTATTTACCTACATGGTATAGGTGGTAATGTTTGCCTTATTTACCCACTTTTACCGGTTTCGTGTAAATACGTATTTAGCGAGATTTAACGTGCGCGGTATTTCTCACATATATTTACCGAGATTTACCATATGGGGCATTTTTCACATGCATTTCAGGCATTTACCGAGATTTACCATATGGGGTACTTCTCCTTTCAGGTATTTACCGAGATTTACCGAGCGTGGTATTTCTGACATTCAGTTGAATTTACCCGTATTTACGCGTACATGCCCTTACCAGAACGACTTGCCATATTTACCCCCCTTTACCCATATTTCCTTACGTTGTATCACTCCCCTGAATTACATACAAGCACAGGAAATGGGTTCTGGGCAGAACTCAGAAATATTTATTTAAAAAGCATAGAAATTAAACATAAATTGGCAGTTACCTTTTTAAAAGGTATGCAAATAAGCTTACATACAAGTAAGTAAAAGTTTTACATACAAGTTATACACTTTTTTCTTATAATGTTCAAATGATCAATGACCACCTGTGTTGTATTAACAACACACAAAGACATATACATACACATACAACAGAATAATAATGAATACAAGCAGTATTTCTCATGAACACACAGAATATCAGCAGACACAATCTAAATATATTATTAATATTATCATTCTGTACTAACACACAGACTTTGAGAAACTATACACTTGGTTTAACATGTACCAGGAAAAGTTGTCACATGTTCTATGGAAAATCCATACCAACTTGTCGTGTATATCCTGTATGATAAAACTATTCAACGAAACACTAACATAACAAGGAAATTACAAAACTGGCTTCTGATATATGGGTTGACATTCAGTGGAGCTTGCATTGTTTTGCTCTTTTTCCACAATATCAGTGACTTTTTTCCGACACAATGTAAAATGTATCATTGTCATCATATTAAATCAATGGAGATTGGAACTGGAATACATTTTACAGTACATATTCTGGTAAGGCTAATATAGTAATAAGACCTTAATAGCTTGTGTCTAATCGTCTGACAACCATCAGACACAAAAACAAATCTAAATGTTTGTCAAAATAAGGTTTATAAAATACAGTAACCTATGGTCTCTATCAATACTGACCACCTGAGGCACATGGCACACCACAATGTTAACTTTTGGGAAATATGTTGTAGAACTGCTCATGTATAAACAATCCTATCCACATCTGACTCCACTGCTGCCATGCACCCTGGGTAAGGCTGTCTGTTCTGTGTTTGCATGTTGGATGTCTTGGTGTTGGTTTGGAGTCCTTCTTCGGAGTCAGTTCCTGTATGATTGAACAAATGTATCATTAAACATTGATTCACATCACTGAGAAACATGTCACATGATTACGGTGCAACTTACAGAAGCACTAATCTTACTTCAAGATAGCATTTACAAACACACATGTATACAATCTAAACCAAACATCATCAGCAGATCATGTTTAGTTACACAATTTTAGGTGCAGGTACTCAGCTTTAAATTAGGTCCAGGTCCAGACATGTACTTGAACTCCGTATTCACATAATGGTTGAACTTTAATAAAGACAATGACACGTGTACCGGTAGGTTCTTTTAGGTCTAATTATTTCGATTCCCGGCATATTAGCGGTCCAGAATTTTGGACTTGTACCTAACCAATTTTACTTTCTGTGCTGGATTTTACAGACACACAACACTAATCATCAACATTGGCACCCTTCAGCTCAGGTACAGGTTCTGACCTGATTATGATATTTGTTTAGGAACACATTATTACTAAAGTGTGGTGATACTGAGGAATATATGCAGGGCTTTAGTCCTACCTAAGGAGTCTGTAGCAGCAGTCAGGTACTCAAAGACTCGGAACTTCTGGCATTTGCGTGCCTTTCATCTAGACTGTCCTTACAACTTCTGCTGCATCTACCGTAGTAGTACATCCTGGAGGTATATAAAAGGTCTTGATTTGTCTTTAAAATGGGATATGCTTAAGCTTGAAATTAGAGGGTTTACCATTATGTATGCAAAACAAAAAGCCAGGAAAAATAGGGATTTGGAAAGAGAGCTAGAACTCCAACTTAATGAATTGCAGAAAGACTGCGATTTAAACCCGACACAAATAGCACTGTCAAACCTTACAAAAGTAAAACTAAAATTAAGTGAGATTCAGACACAAAGAACAAAAGGAGCAATGATAAGAAGTAAAAGCAAATGGTGTGAAGAAGGGGAGAGGAACACCAGATATTTTATAAATTTGGAAAGGAGAAATTATGAACAAAAAAACATTACTGAAATCATAAAAGAAGACGATACAGTTATTACAAACGCAAAAGAAATTTTGTTATTACAATCTGAATATTATAAAAATATGTACACATCATCCGACTGTGATCCAAATAAGACAGATTTTATACCTTTCTTTCAATGTGAAAACGTACCAAATTTGTCTGATATAGAAAAAAAACAAGTGTGAAGGGGAAATTCTTAAAAGGGAGCTTAACATTGCTTTACAGCAACTGAATAGGAAAAAAATAAATCTCCAGGAAGCGATGGATTAACAACGGAATTCTACGTACACTTTTGGCAGTATTTAGAAAAAGACCTTCGGTTTGCTGCAAATTATTCCTTTCGCAAAGGCGAATTACCAGCAGTATCACTGAAACGAGGCGTCATTCATCTAATACCCAAAAAGGATAGCGACTTAAGAAAACTTGGAAACTGGCGCCCTATAACACTTTTAAATGTGGATTATAAACTCATAAGTAAAACTTTAGCGAATAGGATAGAACCACTTTTGCCAAAATTAATACATCCAGACCAAACTGGATTTATTAAAGGAAGACAAATAGTCACTAATATAAGACATATTGCTGATGCAATGGAATACACAAAAATGTACAATTTGCCAGCCCTTGCCTTATTCATCGACTTTCAAAAAGCCTATGACACAATTGAGCGTAAAGTTATTTTTAAAACATTGGAAACAATGAATTTTGGAAAAAACTTCATAGACTGGGTTAAACTACTGTACAAAAATGCCATTAGTTGTGTTCTTAATAATGGTTTCTCGTCTCCATGGTTTGACATCAGTAGAGGAGTAAGGCAAGGTGATCCACTTTCAGCATATTTATTTAACTTAGTGATAGAAGTAGTAGCTTCAAGAATAAGGGCCGATTCCTCTGTTGAAGGTTTATCGATCTATGGTTGTAAGAGAAAACTATCCATGTATGCTGATGATTTAACTGGCCTTGTTAAAGATGAAAACTCTGCTAAAAAACTTACTAGACATTTTAG